AGCGTGGGTAGTAACAAAGAGAAGAGTCACGACTTTAAGAAGAGAAAACTAGCAAATTAGTTTGGACTAAATCCTCCTGGAGTGAATCGTTACTAGTCATTCATGTGTGAGGCAAAGGTGTTACCAACTGTCCAGGGTGATCCATCATTATTGACTAAAATGGCTCATCCGGGGTTACCATAGCAACAGCAAATATTCTTTTTCTGCTTTTTACATGTCAGTACTGTATACCAATGAAATGGCATCAGAACTAACATTGTGGGTTTTACTGTCACATTATATTTAATTAATGTTTGGCTCATTGTCCTCCACGAAAGGTTTTGCAATCCTTCCAAATGTATCTTGAAACTGTAGATTCAGTGGCAGATAATATCAAATGACAAATACCGGGCGACTTTTTGTTATGTTTTCCAACATCAAGTGCAATGATGCAACTCTGTTAGACCACCAATACATTCATTTATCATGGGATCGGTTTTCATCTATGGAGCGACTGCCTATGACAGTGGATTGTGATTTTTGAACCAAGTGAAATAATCATAAAAAAAGAATGTGTTGAATTTCCCATCGTAAATCTAAACCATCCTAATGATAACAATAATCATGTCCCCTCAAATAACCTGTGATAAAAATTAAAGCATGGTCACATGTCACATTCCAGTTGGTTAGATTAATTCCACCCCGCTAATGGGTTAATTTTGGCATAATTCAATCAGCGTCTACTCCCACGACATCCCACATGTGGAGTCTATAATCACGTCTTGACAGTTAGATGAGTCCGGAATCTCTTGAGGTTTCATTTGCCGCTAATTCCTTCTGTTATCTCACTTGTGCGTGGCAAATTAGAACAATTGCATACCGTCTTGCATTCCAGTTTGCCTTTGAATTTTAATATTTCTCCTCGTGTATTTGTTCTTAATGGCTAAATTTGTTAGGGGGATCGGTTGATTGCTCTGATTTATAACATGCCGCAGCAAAATGAAATCATAACAGCTCCTGTAGGAGGAGTGGAAAGAGACAAGTGAGTGCAGTTAAAAAAATAAAAAACAAAAGAATGCGGGAACCTGATGTAAATATAGTACAAATTAATTTGTCTGTGTAGTCAGTGGTAATCAGTTGAATTCAAATCAGACCCTCTTTGCTGTCTTTCAGCTCACTTTTAAACAAGGAGTTCATTCCTGTGCAGGGGTGTAGTGGGCGTGGTACGCTGGGGTACGCCGTCCACCCACTTCTCCCGACGCCACATTCAATTTTTATTGAAATGTTTGTTGATCATTGTTCTAATGCGAGTTATGCTTAATAACGTTGGCCTGTGATTATTTTGGAGTAGTAAAGCATTAAATTTAACGTTAGTTCAACTGGTGTTGTAGCCTATGATTGATGTTCT